CCCGCCTCCCGCCGCCGCCTTGGCGCGGGGCGCGGGGGTAGCATATTCTTGAAACCTACTATGTGCCAGGCTTTTATGTGCAGGGTGGTAGGCTGGAAATAGCTTGAGTATTGCATTTGGCAGTCTGGATTTAAATCCTAATTATAAAACTCACCAGCATATGATCTGGAACACACTTCACCTCCCTGAGCCTTGGTTGTTGCACTGGGGACTAAGAATACAGCCATTGGGATTGGGTGAGACAGTGAAGAAAGCATAATGCACACAGCACACTACAGAGGGAAGGGCACTTGTGTCCCATCTGCTTATCCTCATAACCGTCCTGTGAGGAGGGGGTTCATGCACCAACACCAACTCCCTGTGGTACCATGAAGGGGCTGAGAGGCAGGTATGTTAATGAGATCTGTCTGAGGACATTGTGAATGAAAGGGCTGCACCATCCCAGGCCCTGCTGATTCCCAGGCCGTGCAGTCTGTGATTTTAGCGGGATGTCTGGCCATCTCGTTTCAATGGGTTGTGCTTTGTGGTTCCAGGGTTCCTTCTGCATATACAAAAGCCCTGAAGATTCTAGCTGTGAGGACACCGGGCAGCTGAGAATCCAGCAAGGGATTCCACCCAACCACCCTGTCAAAGTCCTGATCAGGGTGTACATCGTCGCGGTGAGCCAACCTTGTTTACTCTGAGGGGTTATCAGTCTGTTCACGCTGCCATAAGATGATACCACGGAAGGGTGCTCAGACAGCAGACATGTATTCTCTCACTCCCCAGATGTGGGAAGTCCATGATGAAGGTGCCGTCAGGGCAGGTTTCAGGGAGGCGTCTCTTGCTAGACTTTAGCTGGCCGCCTTCTTGCTGGGTCCTCACAGAGATTTTCATCTGTGTGCATGCAGAGCAGAGAGAAGCCTTTGGTGCCTCTTCATCTTATACAGATTCCAGCCTTATTGGATTAGGTCCCACCCTTAATACTTCATTTAACTTTAATTACCTCCTGACCTCTAATAGCGTTACGTGAAAGGTTATGGACTCAACATACAGATTTGGGGGCAGGAAGTGCATAATTCAGTCTACAACATAGTATATAGCTTCGTCAGTAACACGGACATTTCCTAGCGTCTAGCGTCCCTCTCAGGGAGAATAATATACTCCAGGGCATATAGGTCAGCTCTGGGTAGGTGTATCTGTTCTCTGTGGTTGCCTGCTGGCAAGAGAGGAAACCAAACAAGAACGGGGCATTAAATCAGAATGTCTGGAGACAGAACTGAAGCTCACAACAGGACAGTTAGTGGGAAGGCCCAGGGAGAATGGGGCAGCTGCTGCTATGAAATCCCTCACCCACAGCTTTGCTTCTACACTGTGGTCAGAAATTTCATTCTGAATGTATTCCCAAGAAAAATATTATTTCTCTAGGCTTCCTCCTTTCCGATAATGAGAGCACAAAAGTTAATTATAAAACTTTTGACTTGATTGCCAGGAAGCCTGGAGCCAAATCTGACACCCAATAAAAGCAACTGTATGAACTCTCACAGCTCATGGATTTGTTTTCATCTCTTGACCTTGGACTTGACTTTCACAATCACATTTGATGGTGGTAGTCTTACTTAACGTTAACTCTTTGCTTGCAGGCCCTGCAGTGCCTACATCCTTTTCAAAATATATAAATGAAGCATAAAATAAAAATGAATTATTCTTTAATGCTAACAAAGAACTAAATGCTTCCATTATGTAGTTCTCAGATTTCCTTCATCACCCCAGGCATCATCACTACAATCTTTACATGCCCAGGATGTTGTGATAAAATGAACAATTTCTGCTTTCAAGAGAGTCACAGACTAGTTAGAAGGATTAGAAGTACTTTTAAGGAATCACTGGCAATGCTGGAGGTCTACATTAAACACAAACCCACAGGACAGTTTTGACTAGCTTTTTCAAAATTTCATTCAGGAGATCATTTATGTCTTGGGAGATAATTAATATGAATTCCTTAGAAAGAGAACATATGTTCAAATAAATTCAAGAAATAGTGCATATAGAATTCATTTTCTTTCTCCAACTCCTGAGATTCATAAATCTCATTAGCACATTCAAAGCTCAGAGCATTCCAGAAGCAAACATTCTGTTTAATTATTGAATCTTGAACAGCCTTTTCTAAACGTATTGCCACAAACCTTATGTGTGTGTATATATATATATATATATATATGTATATCAGTACATATACTTTTTTTTATCATACAGAAAATTCTACAGAATTAAGGTTTTAGGGCATACAGTTTAGAGAATTCAGAAACAGAGGGCAGGATTTCTATGGTCTACAGAGATTAGAGAAGGGTTTTCCCTCTTATTCACTTATTCATTCAGCAAATATCTATTCATGTGTCTAGTCCTGTCTAGACAAAGGCTTGGGATGTCCATCAGGTTCCTTCCCAGGAACTGGCATGCAGCAGGGAGGACTTGGGCTGGGACTTAAGCATAGGAGGGACTCGAACACTGTCAGAAGGTGGCAGTCCTGGTCACAGGGAGTAGAATGAACTCACTCTCATTATGGACAGTCAGTGCTTCTCCTTGGCATCTCAAGGAGTAATGGTATGTGTGGTTTGCTCTTTTTACTAATATTTGATTCATTAACTAATGAATTAATTTTAGAACATTTTAATTTAATAAAACACTAGGCCCAACTGTTATGGTTCAGGCAGTAGGAGTGCCGCTGGGCAATGGCGGAGCCATATGGGTACACCTGAAACATGTGAGCATGTCCGTGGGTCCACCTCGGATCCTAGTCGGCTTTAGGGCTTTCATCACCACAGAGTTTCTGTCTTTGTGGTACCATTCTGACCAGCCTCCTACTTTGACATTTACTTAGAAGGTATTTGCTTGAAAAATAAACATGAAAACCAAAAAGGAAAAAACAAATTGCTTATGCTTACTTAAGGCCAAACTTGTCTGGAATCAGGCCTTACTCCCATAAACAGATGATTGTTCAAATGGCTGGTGCTAAATGCAAGACTGACAGGTCATAGATTCAGGGACCATTAATTTGGGGGGAGGAGCTTTCCAGAATTAATTTCTTGATTTTACAGATGGATCTTAGAGAGATGACATTACTTGTCCAAGATCACATGACTGCTTAGAAACAGAACTCAAACTCAAAATCATGCCTTGTGCCCCCACCTGATCTCATAACTCCGTGCCAAGAGCTGCTCTCCACTGGGGAAGTGACTTAAGAGACAGTTGAGCTTGGGCAAAACCCAGTTTTACTTTTAACAACAAAATAGAGATGCTAACACAGTGGTTTTTAACCTTGGCTGCTCACTAGAAACATCTACAGAGCTTCTCAAAATTCATTAAATCAGAATGTCTGGAGACAGAAACGAGCACCCAGATGATCTCAGGGTGCAGCCAAAATGGAGAACCATGAGACCAAGGAATTGTTTTTTCCTCCCCAGGCATTTAATCTTAGCCCAGCTGATCCAGATGGCAAATCAGATCCCTACATTGTGCTCAAGCTTGGCAAGACGGAAATCAAAGATCGGGACAAATACATTCCCAAACAATTGAACCCAGTATTTGGAAGGTCAGTGGCCATCTGGGCTGTCCTGCATTGTCCTTTCTGCTGCTGCATTTCTGTGGGGATTGATGCGTGTATCCATGTGTGTAGTGGGTAAAATGGTGGCAGGAGGTTAAATGCTAACTTCCGCTCTTGATAACAAACAACCAAACCTATATTCATGGACAAGAGTTGAATCCTTTCCAGGTGTCTTACAGACATTGGGTGGTGTGTGATGGCCTTCATACCCATGGTTTTTTCATAATCCTTTCCTAGATCTTAGATTTAAGAGGCACCCTGAAGGATAATTGGATTTACAGTCTTGCTTTTGGTCAGAGAGAGTTCTCTGTTACAAACAAAGTCACAAAGGTTCAGAAAGGTTAAGAAACTTACTGAAGTTCACACAGTTCATAATTGGAGAAGGACCCAGACATTTGGTCTTCGATCTCCAACTAATGGGATTTTTTTCTGTTGTCGTTTTGCTGCTCATTTGAGGTAAACTCTCAGGTCTAAAAGCTGAACTGCATCTTCCTACACAATGCTAAAACCTATTGCATCTGTACATAGTAGGTGAGTTATGCATTCTCCAGTTATGACAGCCCTACAACCCACATTTATCTTATAATAGAGCATGTCACACATTGGTGACTTTGGATCAAGGCAACCTGGGTTTCACTCTTTCACATACAAACTGTATGACCTTGTACTAATGATCCTAGTGTTCTGCACTAAGGCAGCAATAATGACGCCTGACTCAGACTCCTTCCAAGGTGAAGTACATAAAGCCCCCAGCACAGTGCCTATTCTAGCACACAGTAGGTACCCAAAACACCTGAGCTTCCTTCCCTTCCCTTTTAGAAATCATTTTAATGGTGGAAACATCATAAGTATCATCATTTTGGCAATAAATACATCTCATGTGTACTTAATTTCTGTTTTTTTCCTGAGCATGGGATGAAATCTCCATCAGGCTCATTTAAATTCATTTACACATTTGTGATCACTGTGGACCCTCTGACATTTCATCAGCATCAGCCTTGTACATTTTATTGCTCCTGAGGAAATGAGGCAATAAATGATGAGAATGATTAAAAGACAGTGCCAAGGAAACTTACCCTTGCTTCTCTGATCCCAAGATGACCTTTGTTTTTACCTGTCATTTATGTAACCAGCTCTTGAGTTTGTCAAGTGCTTGGCAGTCACTTTTTTTCTTTTTCTTTTTTTCTTTTTTTTTCTTTTTTTTTTTTTTTTGAGAGTTTTGCTATAGGGCACGTGTTGGAGATACAGAGAAGAGAGAGTGTGTGTGAGAAATAACCACTGTGAGGATGGCCATACCACAATCCTTCTCCTCTGTTTTCCTCTCTGAGTTTTGGGCACACACACACAAATGCACCTGGCATGAGTTTCAAGCCACCGAGTTTAGGATTCAAAGCACGGTTGACCATGTGGGAGTCCAACACCTTAACCACTATACCATCTGCTAGCCCCAGCAGCCACTTTTTCACTAACTAATTTCATCACAATGCCATGAATTAGACTGGCTTTATTGCCTCCATTATATGGCATGACAAACAGAGAGGTATAGAATAGTCCTTGCTGCCTCTGACATTGTGGAGCCTCTTCCAGAAGTGGATGCTTTATTGGATGTGTATTTCATTGTCACTGGGGACAAGCATTGCTAGTTCACTCTCAGCGTTCCAGCAGGGAGAGCAACTCTTATGCCTAAGACATGAGGTCTGGGGACTCCCCCCTCACAATCTCCCTGCCCCACTATTCCTGTGAGGATGTCACAGCCTCCACCCCTGGGGTCCTGGCACTTGGCCCTGCTTTACTTTTCTTCATAGTTTCTGACATAGATTCACATTAATATATGTTTCTTGGTCACCTCTCATCTCTGCATTAGAGTAAGATCTGTTTAAGTTGCAACTTGGTCTAGTCTAGCTGATGTCACACTCCGCAGTATCTGGGACAGAGCCTGACACGTGGTGAGCAGGTATTCAGTAAGTACTCATAGAATGAATAAATGAATGGACAGAACTCCAGCCAGTTGTTAGTGGGACTGAACAGGATCCTGTCACTGCATCATCCCGAGGTGGTACCTGTCTGCAGGTTCTGTCAGTTCCTCACAGCTCTGGTTTCCCAGAATTGTCTCCACAGTCTTGATACTTAACCATAAGGAAAAATATGTCACCTGCTGGCCCCCAGAGCACTCTTAAAACCCTGGCCCTAACTCTGAGAGTTTAGCTATTATTTATCTATTTCCTTATATGTCCTCCCTACTGGAAGGAAATTATTTTACTTATTTTGAAAACTACTGTAACTGACACATAGTGACGTGTCATAAATAGCAGGTGAGTGAATAAATGAATGGATAAATGAGCAAAGGAACAATGAGGCATCTTTTCTCTGAAGCACAGAGGCTCTGCATGCATTCAACAATCTCAGTTCTGGCCTGTCTCATGATGTACTGTATCTTCTCAAATCATCACTGCATCTAGCGAGAGTGTCTCGTTGACACACAGGTTTGTATAATCCTAGTTTTTCTCTGGGTATCGGGCAGTCCAACTGCAGTGCGCTATTTCTGAATGAAGCTCCAGTTAAAATGCGAAGGAGGTTAGCATGTGTGCACAGACTGGGAAGATGGACCAGAGTGACTAGGTGCTCTGCCATGGTTGCTAGGTTGGTTAAGCACTTACTAAGTCCTTTTTTAGCAGCCATGGTAATGGCAAAGGTCATGGGTAGATGGCTGGAGGCTTCCTTGTGAGATGCTTCTCAACTATCAATTACAGTTTAGAATTCAAATCTTGGAGCTCAGGGAGGCAATACCATGCCTTCAGATGGAAGACACATGGATTTCTTCCCTGCACGGACATACTGCTGGCCTGCTAGCACTGCCTCAATCAGATATAATCACTGGAGCTATAGAGCATCTCTGCCTGACTCTTCGGGGAGAGTTAGTTGGCTCTGGGCCATTCTGTGATTGCAGTGTCTGCCGCATTGCAGAGCAGGTATCAGGATAAAGTGGGCCCAACCATGAGGGCAGCACCCCAGACAGGACCAAGGACATGCAGGGAAATAATGAGCCCTCATTCTCTTTCCTCACCCCAGCCCACCCTATCCCAGAGCAGCCAGAGTCTGGAATAGCTAGAGAGTCACTGGTGTGTTCTTTTTTTAAATCAATCTATTTATTTTACATACTTTCACTGAACATCACCACAGCACATGAACATCAGCATGCACTGGAAAACCGCATACAAAATGTGGTTCCCAGCCAGGATACCCTATAAAGTGGCTTAATCATACATGTTATTGTCAACAAATAATTTTCCATTTCTTGTTTCTTATATGTATGTATGTGTGTGTGTGTGTGTGTGTGTGTGTATATATAATTTTCCCCCTATTTCTCACCCTTTGCCATTTTCCATCCTCCTCCCACCCTGTCTCTGGTATCTGCAGTTGCTTTCTATTCCTTTATTTTTTCCCACATTGTATTGATTCACAAAATATCTTAATTAATCTAAATACTATCAATAGTAAGTTCAGCTGATATATACATATCTGTGAACAAAAGTCATGACTTTAGTCATGAAACGCTGTGAATAGAAAGAGTATACCATAAAAGCACATAGCTGAGGCTATATGGCTTACTGTGGTCATTAAATAAGTATTTTTAAATACATTTTTTAATTTCAAGAAAGGCCATTTTAACTTTAATAAATCAAAATTTAAAAATGTTAAGGGAACTTTGCTTAATACTTAAAGCCAGGTAACAGGTGAGGATTCAGTTCAAATAGTAGATACATGGACCTGTCCACAACTCAAGAGAAGACGAAACTCCTTAACACGGGGAAACAAAGCATAGAAGGTCAGTCATATTTTAGTCAAAAGGCATAAGATTCTATTTCATCAGTTGAAACTCATGTACTTTATCTTCTGTTGTGATCCGATCTTTCTGTTTAAATACCAGTGTGTTCTTGGTTTTGTTTTCAGAAAGACATTTCCCTGAAATGAAAAATTTCACTCAATATTTAATTCCAAAGTACTTGCTCTAATGTAGGAACTCAGTATCAAGGATAATCCATTGTCACATTGACACTGGGCATTGGTGTGGTGCCATGGAAAGAGGCCCTAACTCAGAGTTAGGAGATGGGCATTTATCCCACATTGGCCTGATTTATTATTGTGGGCAGGTCACTCATGTTCTCTAGATTTCTGTTTTCTTATCTTTAGCATGAAGGGATTGGATATGTTGATTTCTGAGACGCCCCCTTAGAGTTCAAAGAAACATATATTAAGTGTGTACTTTCCACTGTCCAAGTGGAGGCTCCAGCAATGCGGAGATAGAAAAGGCAGGTCCCATTTCCCAAGGAGTCAGAGTCTTGTAGAAACAGCACTCTAGTTCTGCAATTTTAAGGTTCAACATTTTTTTATCCCCAAAGGGGTTTTCATTTAAAATAAATCCAGCTGGTATTCTTCGATGAAGCAACAATGGAGGGGAAGAGAATGGCAATGTATTGGACATCAGTTGGATGCCTGAAAGTGAAATGTGTGTTTTATTTTTTTTAAGACAGATTTTTGTTGGGACCAGCAGTTAGCATAATGGCTACGTCGCTGGACTCCCATGTAGTCAACCGCGGTTCGAGTCCCGGACCCGATGGCTTAAACTCACGCCAGGCGCATGTGCGTGCGTGCTCAAGATCCCGAGAAGACAATGGAGGAGAAAGGGTTGTGGCATGACCATCTCCCCTGGGGGAGTGATTTCTCGCTTTCTGTCTCTTTCTCTCACTCTGTCTTTCTGCTGGTGAGCGCACGTGCCCTATAGCAAAAACATCTCTCTAAAAAAAAAAAAAAAAAGACAGATTTTTGTTATAGGGCACATGCACTCTCCAGAGAGACAAAGAGACAGAAAGTGAGAAATCACCCTCCAGAGGGATGGTCATGCCTCAATTCCTTCTCCTCCATTCTCTTCTTGAGATTTCGGACATGCACACACATGTGCCTGGGGTGAGTTTTAAGCCTTCGGGTCTGGGACTCAAACCGCAGTAAATTCCATGGGAGTCAAATGACATAACCATTATGCCATGTGCTGGTCCTGAAATGTGTGTTTTATATAAACAATATTTAATTTAATCACCATGCTAAATTATAAAGAAAATATAAGACAATGGAGGAGAAATGGTTGTGGCATGACCATCTCCCCTGGGGGAGTGATTTCTCGCTTTCTGTCTCTTTCTCTCACTCTGTCTTTCTGCTGGTGAGCGCACGTGCCCTATAGCAAAAACATCTCTCTAAAAAAAAAAAAAAAAGACAGATTTTTGTTATAGGGCACATGCACTCTCCAGAGAGACAAAGAGACAGAAAGTGAGAAATCACCCTCCAGAGGGATGGTCATGCCTCAATTCCTTCTCCTCCATTCTCTTCTTGAGATTTCGGACATGCACACACATGTGCCTGGGGTGAGTTTTAAGCCTTCGGGTCTGGGACTCAAACCGCAGTAAATTCCATGGGAGTCAAATGACATAACCATTATGCCATGTGCTGGTCCTGAAATGTGTGTTTTATATAAACAATATTTAATTTAATCACCATGCTAAATTATAAAGAAAATATAATTACTCGCCTTTACACATGAGGCTGAGAGGAGTTAAATCATTTTTCCAATGTTTTATAAGCTGGAGGCTGCAGAGTTTTTATTATAATTGGAAATCAGTCCTGTTGGAGACCAAAACCCCATGTGGAAGACTGCAAGATATGGGCCATGAAAGGGGAGATTATTAGTTACTGGAAATTATAAAGAAATTACAAATAGATTGTACATTAAGTGAGAAATTAAGCCAACAAATCTGCAGTAAGTACTGTCTGAGTTACTGAGCATTTAGAGGATTCATACCAACAGCAGGTTGGCTACAAGTGAAACTGGAGAAAGTTCCCTGTGCCACCAAACATTGTTGATTCCACAGGTCATTTGAGATCCAAGCCACATTCCCAAAGGAATCCCTGCTCTCTGTCCTGATCTATGACCATGACATGATTGGCACAGACGACCTCATTGGTGAGACCAAGATCGACCTGGAGAATCGCTTCTACAGCAAACACCGAGCCATCTGTGGCTTGCAGAGCCAGTATGAAATGTGAGTTCTTTCCCCATGGAGACACTGTTGATGGTTTGGGTCTGTAGTCATCAACACTCTGGGCTCTGTGTCTCAGTTGTCCCTCTCTGGAAAGGCCTGGTCAGGCTCAGCTTTAATACCTCAGATGGGCTCCATAGCATCAGGGTTGTTATGTACCCACAAAAGTTATTGGGACAGGGGAGACAGTTCTGATTTAGAACCGCGGGCAGCTTCAAGACTCAAGAGCTAAACTGTGTGTGTTGACCAGCCGTGCTCACTGGGTAGGAGTCTTCAGTGGGAAATGAAGCTGGAAGAATGATTACAGTAATACAAAGGCCAACATCCCAGCTAGTTATAACTAACAGTCATGTGTGCTTTTGATAACCAAGCACTTTACATGGAGTATCTCATTCAGTTTTCTCAAAATTCCATTGAGGTGTTATCTCCATATTACATATGAAAGAAAAATAAACTCAGCTCTTACTCTTTACAAAGATTTTGATAAAATTCAGAGATTTTGAATTCTGCTTAATTTTAAAATATAGACTATAAGCTCTTTTGTTAAAGTATGTTGTGTCTGATAACTTTAAGTTTTAAAATTTGCATTTCTGTATTTCTTTTTAAAATTCTTCTTATTATTATCATTATTTATACATTTAATTGCTATACATCATTTAGATTGTAAAGAGACTTTACCCAGCATTATATACACCTCAGTCTAGCCCAGTTGAGAATACTATACATATCCTCATCAACAGATAATAAACCATATCTGTGTCTCACAAATGTCTTACCCCTCTATTTTTCCCCAAAATTTCTTTTCACTTTCCCTTCCATACTCTCTTTCCGCTTTGTTTCTAGTGTTCATAACAATTTTTAATGCTTTTATGTCTTCCAGCCTTTCAGTCTCTACCATGGAGTGCAGTCAGTCTATTTTAAGTGGAGGCATATATTTTTCTCTTTCATAGCCTGACTTGCTTCACCCAGCGACAAAACTTCCATATTCATCTACTTTATATCAAATTCCAGGGCCTTGTTGTTTTTTTATGGCTGAGTAGTATTCCATGGAGTATATGTGCCACAGTCTTTCAATCCACTTACCCATTTGTGGACATTAGGGATGCTTCCATGTCTGAGTAATCGAGAATAATGCTGCAGTGAGTATAGATGAGCAAGTGCTTTTCCAACTGAGAGTTCTCCTGTCCTTTGAGTAGATACCCAAGAGTGGAATTGCTGGATCATATTGTAGTTCTATTTGAAGGTCTTGGAGGAACCTCCATAATGTTCTCCATGGTGGCTGGACCAATTTACATTCCCACCAACAGTGTCTTCTACTTTCAAAATTTGATCTTCTGGATGGTCTAACCTGCTTTTAATACTTTTGAGGGAGGTTTTAATTTCCTATATTATAGCCTTCGTATCTAACAGCTCTGTTTGATTCTTTTTTATGGTGTCCAAATCTTCTCTTATATTGTGGAAGGACTTCCTCACCTTTTGGAGCTCAAAGTCTCTTTTCTCTTGCATCTGATAGAGTTTTGTTACCATAAATATTCTAAATTCTTTCTCTGACATTGCAGTAATATCCTCTAATATTTCCCTACTTGGAGACAAGTTACAGTGTTCCCTGGCTGGAGATGTGTTACTTGATTCTCTCATCCCTGAGGCTCTTCTCTGATTTTTAGACATTTGGTACTGTATTCACTTCTGCCTAGCTTGTTGGAGAAGCATTCTGTGACTGTGAGCTTAAAAATTTGGTACTATTTTCTCCCTTCTACTGTGTCCTTCAATGCGGGAAAAACAGGAGGAGTTGTGCGATTGAATTTTAAAGGGGAATTTCACTATTTTTGCAACAACTGCAGTGAGGTGCAAAGAATTCTCTAAAACTCACAAACTTCAGATGTTTAGCTACTGTGCACCTAGTCATCTCTAGGCAGTGCGTAAGGGCTAAGCAGTAAAACAGGAAAGTAAGGTAAAAGAAAAAGAAAGTAAGAAATAGAAATAGGAAGAAAAGGCAAAGAAAAAAGAAGGAAAGTGCTACGAGAAAAAGAGGAAAAAGTTAGAAATCACGTCACAGAAAATGAAATTGGGTAAAATATGGAAAACTGTGCGGTGTGAAGGTTGGACACAGGCAGAGGTGGCAGTGCCCAGACACCCAGGAGTGGAATTGCTGGATCACCTAGGACACTTTCTTCCTAGGTGAGGGAAGAAGAGACAAATTAACAAGAGAAAGGCATGAACAGGGCAGAAAGCAGTTTCTTTTTAAAGAGAAAATAAAGTTAGAAGGAACAGAGAAGAGCAAGAGGGAGACACTTGCGTACCTGATTTGCACTGGTGTCTGGAGTTGGGGGGAGGTGGCCCTGGGGGAGGGGGGTGTCTTTTCAGCCATGAAGCTGAACCCAGAGGCCTGACACAGGTGGAGTGGAGGTGCCTGGATGCTTTCTGTCCTGACTAGCACTGGGATCTCAAGGGATGTCTGATATCTTAAGAAAAAAATACTCTTCGAAGTTTCAGCCGGCAAAATGTAAAATCATTTACTAGAGTTTCATGATATAATTAAATAATTTTTTCTTAATATAAAATAATGCATATTCATTGTAGAAAATTTTGGAAATACATAAAGTACAAAATAATGCTTGAGTTATTCTACCGAAAGACAATTTATGTAGAAATTCTTGGATATTTCCTTCCAGTATTTTTTCTATGCTATATTCCCCCGAAGCTGAGCTCATAATATCCATGCAGTTTTATAATTTATGTGGTACACTTCCTTTTATAGCCTAAGCATTTTGGTCATTTAATATTTTTACAGCAATTATTTTACTAGGTCTATAATATTTAATTATATTCATTTATAACAAAAAATGGTAAACCACATTACTCTGCTATAGTGTAGATTTCAATTATTTGTACAAATAAAAACTGGATTACATGGCCATAAAAAAATGATATAACCAATTTACCTTCCTGAAAGACGGGGCATTTATATTACTCTTTATTCTAGTATAAACATTGTGGTTAAGAGATTTTCAAAGAAAAGCCATCATACACCTCTCTGATTATTCACTCAGCTTTCACCCACCAACTCCATTAAAAGTAGATTGAGAGGATTTACAAAGCTCCCCCAATGTTTCACAAACAGGAAGTTGCAGATTTAAAAGCAAGAGTGGGAATCAGTCCTCTCTGAGACCAAAATCCCCAGTGAATGAGTGCAAGGAATATATGGCTCCTGAAAAATACATAGTTTAAGAACAGTTAAACCTAGAGATACATAAATGTCTTAGACTCTCTTCCAAGGCTGGGTACCTGCATCCTCCATGGCATGATTGCCTTTCTGGCCTGCTCTGCAGGTTCCGTTTAGGGTCTCCCGAAACTCTATAAACCTCCTGGGGTTTTACATGTCTCTCCAAGCCCCTTAAAGGATCCATTCAAAGAGTGATCAGCTGTCCTCACTCTGAAATGAGGGAAGGAAGCCACAGGTACATCCTTTATTCAGAAGAACTTCCAATGGTGGCCCCACTAGGAAGCAGAGTAGTTTAGTCAGGAGAATTGCAATCTTTATTCACTGAAAAGCTTTTACAGTAAGACAAGAGTGCTGGTGTCAAGGGGACTCTATGTGTCACTCTGGAACTGATATGGATGGCCTCTTCCAGAGCCTCCTATCTCTGGCACAATGTAAGAAAACTACTGAACAGCATTGTCCTATAGCCACGTTTTGATTTATTTAAATACTGAAACAAGTGAATTCCAGTGAGCCCAGTGTCTCATTGAGCAGAGATAGCCAAGCTTATCTTTGTCATGGCTCTCTGGGAGCACTTCAGTAAGTTAATAATTTTTAAACAAATAGCTAGTTTGGGGGGTTGGGGAGAAAGAGTTGGGAAGATTTAGAAACTTACCGTTGCAAAACTCAGTGATTACAGAAACATCATATCAAGGCTTTATGCCTGTGAAATGAGTCTATAACATGATTGTTTTATGGGGAAGGAGAAGAGAAAAAAGCAGCAGAAAATCGAAGGGATGAGTTAGGCTTTCCTATTAGAAGTTAGAGCAGCCTAATGTCTATTCTACTAAAAACTAAGCAAAACTTATCTGCAAAGAAATCGATAAACACAGAAAGCAGATCGGTGATTGCTGAAGGTTCTGGAGAGAGGGAAAGAAGAATAATTATTTTATGGGCACAGGGTATTTTTTGGGGGTGGCAAATATTTTGGAGGGACAAGGTAGGTGTGGTAGAAGCACATCATTGTGGAGGTATTAAATGACACTTAACTGATCAACTTTAACATGGTTAATTTATGTTCTGTGAATGTCATTTCAATCTTCTCTTTTAAACAAAAGTACATTAGTAAAAACCGAAACTCTCTGCAAAGGATTTTTATGTCAAGCTACTCACAAGTCCAGTCTTATCCACAAGCTATACATAGGCAAAGGCCTCTGCTCAGAAAAGAGAGAAAACCGAAAATTCAGTTCAAATATCTAGAATGGCAAGTATATCTGAAGGGAACTTCACAGATGATACTTGGACAGCCCTTTCAATAGAGACCACAAAATGTGCCCTCCCTGTAGAAAGCCAGGCCTCACGCTCTCTGTCGTTCCTCCACTTTTCAGAGAAGGCTACAATGCCTGGAGAGACACATCCAAACCCACGGAAATCCTCACCAAACTCTGCAAAGACAACAAGCTAGATGGGCCCTACTTTCGCCCTGGAAAAATACAGATCGGAAATCAGGTCTTTTCTGGAAAAACTGCCTTCACTGAAGAGGACACTGGTAACTCTCTGCAAAGTATTCTACTAATATTGCTCTTCTTATGAAAAGCCTGATTCTATTGATATGTGTGGCTAAAACCGAGTGAGTCATTCGATTATAAAAGTAATGTATGCTCACAGTAAAAAATACAGAAAAGTAAGGAGGAAATGAAAGTCACCTATAGTCCTAAAAGTCAGAGATCACCATGCTGCATACTGAGATATTTCTTTGCAGTCTTTGTGTGAGGGGAGAAAGAGTTGGGAAGATTTAGAAACTTACCGTTGCAAAACTCAGTGATTACAGAAACATCATATCAAGGCTTTATGCCTGTGAAATGAGTCTATAACATGATTGTTTTATGGGGAAGGAGAAGAGAAAAAAGCAGCAGAAAATCGAAGGGATGAGTTAGGCTTTCCTATTAGAAGTTAGAGCAGCCTAATGTCTATTCTACTAAAAACTAAGCAAAACTTATCTGCAAAGAAATCGATAAACACAGAAAGCAGATCGGTGATTGCTGAAGGTTCTGGAGAGAGGGAAAGAAGAATAATTATTTTATGGGCACAGGGTATTTTTTGGGGGTGGCAAATATTTTGGAGGGACAAGGTAGGTGTGGTAGAAGCACATCATTGTGGAGGTATTAAATGACACTTAACTGATCAACTTTAACATGGTTAATTTATGTTCTGTGAATGTCATTTCAATCTTCTCTTTTAAACAAAAGTACATTAGTAAAAACCGAAACTCTCTGCAAAGGATTTTTATGTCAAGCTACTCACAAGTCCAGTCTTATCCACAAGCTATACATAGGCAAAGGCCTCTGCTCAGAAAAGAGAGAAAACCGAAAATTCAGTTCAAATATCTAGAATGGCAAGTATATCTGAAGGGAACTTCACAGATGATACTTGGACAGCCCTTTCAATAGAGACCACAAAATGTGCCCTCCCTGTAGAAAGCCAGGCCTCACGCTCTCTGTCGTTCCTCCACTTTTCAGAGAAGGCTACAATGCCTGGAGAGACACATCCAAACCCACGGAAATCCTCACCAAACTCTGCAAAGACAACAAGCTAGATGGGCCCTACTTTCGCCCTGGAAAAATACAGATCGGAAATCAGGTCTTTTCTGGAAAAACTGCCTTCACTGAAGAGGACACTGGTAACTCTCTGCAAAGTATTCTACTAATATTGCTCTTCTTATGAAAAGCCTGATTCTATTGATATGTGTGGCTAAAACCGAGTGAGTCATTCGATTATAAAAGTAATGTATGCTCACAGTAAAAAATACAGAAAAGTAAGGAGGAAATGAAAGTCACCTATAGTCCTAAAAGTCAGAGATCACCATGCTGCATACTGAGATATTTCTTTGCAGTCTTTGTGTGAGTGTGTGTGTGTGTGTTTGTGTGTATGTGTGGTATGTTACATTTTTAAAGAATTGTAAATGTGCTATATGTACAGTTTTGTACCTTGTTTTTTTTTCTATTTCTAATAGATTACGATGATTCTCCTCTGCTCTTTGAGCTGATTACTGATAAAATTCCATTTTTTGACTGTGCCATTTATTTACATCATGCTCATTTTTATAGTGACAATTAATGCTACAACAAACTTCCTTATACTTCCTTAGCACACTTCTGGTACTTTTACAGAATAGAACATAGAAGCACAATTGTTTTTTTCTAGAAGGTAGGCAATAGCCCTAAAATACAGAAATAATTGGAAAAAATCAAATTTATATCAATAACTCTCCTATTTTAACACCAAGAGCTACATTTTCTACGTGAACATCACAGGGCCTACCACAAAGATCTGAGAAAGGGCTCCATAAATGTCAGAGGGAGAACAGAGTCCCCTTCACTTAATGATACAAAACTACTTTTGTACTTTCTGCTGTGTAAAAATTCCCTACGTACGGCTCAGTATTTTGATGCAAAGTCCAAGCGGAGATTTGGTATATAACATATTGATGCTATGTTGGCCTCCGCTACTTTGATATCAGAATTTCTTTTACCATGTCATTTTGGTCCCTAGAACCAATTGCAAGCATTTACATGCAAAATTATTTATATTTAGACATGATGATGAGTTTCTGTAGCCTTTTTTTTAAATAGCCTATTTCAACTTTCCATATTTGATAGTTTCAGTATCAAATTCAGCTATTCTAAACAGGTTATTCAATACTTCTAAAAAGTTTATTCTTGCAACACTTTTTGTCTTATTTTTGTAAGTATTATTTCCACCAGTAGTTTTTTTTTTTTTCTTTTTATCATAAATTACCTTCTCTGTAGAATGACAAATCAGAGAATTTTCCTGTGGGCAGATGTTGGGAGGATAGCAATAATAAGACAAGAGACATCAGCATTGGACCAGTTTCACCACCTTGCTTAAGTCCTCACTGTATTCCAACACCATTTCTCACCATGTTGTTAGCAAACAGTTTCAAATCTCAAGAAAACCACACCTTCTCTAGTACCTCAAAGCCCAGCTTATGACTCAGATTCTAAGATGACTCTGATTTAGGGGATATGTGGAGACTCCTCCTCTACAACTTTGACTACTGAGTTCACGTCACTCTGTCTCACTTCCCTCTCTCTAAACTGTCTCTTTCCCCTCCCCATCTCTTTCTATCCTTTCATTTTCATTTTCCTCTCTTGCTGTCATCTCTTTGCCCCCTCCCCTGCTCCTTGGTGTATTTAAATAAACTTTTAAGGGAACTATTTAAATATGCATCAGATAGCCCATCACTGCCTCCTTATAGGAGAGTACATCTGACAAGTCTCTTTCCTTATCTGTCTTCCCTACAGATAAGACTGTGGAATCTTATGAGCACTTGGCCCTCAAGGTCTTACACTCTTGGGAGGATATGCCAGAAGTTGGATGTAAGCTAGTTCCTGAGCATATAGAAACCCGATCGCTGTACCACAAGGATAAGCCAGGAATGGAGCAGGTAATGACCAAGACAAGTCTGGCTCTAGTCAGAGAGTTTATCCCCAAGACATGTGAATTTGTCTCTAAATGCTAATCTGGTGTGGCCTAGAGTAATTATTTCATCCAGGGACAATTTTTATACCCCCCACTGCCTGGGATATTTACCAATGTCTGAAAAGATTTTTTGTTGTCATAGGTGAGTAGGGGTACTACTAGCATCTAGTAGGTAGAAGCCAGGGTTGCTGCTAAATTAAACTTATACCAGAAAGCCCCCCTCCCACACACACACACACACACACACACACACACCCCATATTAAACACGCCCACCAAAGAATTATCCAGTTTAAAGTGTCAATAATGCTGAAGTTGAAAAACCCTGCCCTGGAGTCAATACTTTTACTTAATAAAAAATACTTAATCCTTTACATGATTTGAGTTATCAAACTCCTTTAGGAGAATTCTGACATTAAAGAAACTTCAAAACCCATGTAACATGACCAAGATCCTACCTAAAATTTGTATGTAACCACACAGATTAGCAACTCACACATACACAGACACACAAACCCAATTTTTTCAGAAAAATCAATAGAAGGTGGCTTACTTGTAAGAACTGTCAAGAAGCTGTGTGAAAACAGTCACTTAAGACCTGGGTGAGGAATCAGAAGGAAAAGAACTTAAACTTTGTCAAGAACATTTCATGTATTTGGTCTTTTACACAAATTATCTATTCATCATGACCACAGAATTGTTGATCCAAACTTGGGTTATTTTGAGAGTAAACAAAGGCAATATTCGTAATTAGCAGACCCCAATTTTTTCTAGACAAACAGCAATATGGAGTCGCCTACTCTTGCTCCAGTCTCATAATGGGGTTATTATGATCCTCATTTTAAGGATGAGGAAACGGAAGTTCAGAGAGTTTAATTAACTTGCTCAAAGTTACTCAGCTACTAAATAGTTGAGATATGATTTAAAATTCAGGACATTTGAGCCCATAACCCATGCTCTGTCCACAACCCCAGTTGGCCCCTGTCCCAGCTCTGGATTCATTCACTGTGAACTTGGACACAGTACTTGAACTCATTTGTTATAGGTCAGGAACACTCACTCTGCTATCCCAGTGGTGTTGGGGTGTAGACCTAGTGATAGCATGTGTGGAGGAAGACTTCAAGAAAGTAAGCAAACCATTATCAGCCATTGAAGCTTATGACTGCTTTCTGAAATCCACCAAATATCTGAAATCTTTTGATGCCTGAGATCCTTTGTGTTTCCTGTCAGATGTGGGGTTTTGATTAGGCTGAATGTTAATATATCTTTAGAGAGTGAATCATCCCACTTTTCCCTAGGATTGTAATCTTTCACCAAGTTGGGTTTTTTCTTCCCAAATGCTAAATCTTTGCTTATGTTATCCTTCTCCTGAAAGGTCTTTTTTTTTTTTTCTTAACCAATTTTCTTCCCTCATCCACATGTTCTTCACACTCTAGAAAAAGTCCCACCTCCTTTTTATAAAAGCTCTTCTTATTGTATCAGCCTTCATTGAACACATCCTTCTTGTTTGAGCTAATAGAATATTTAAAATGTGTGCAACAGGTCAAGTATCAGGTCTTCTCCCTTCTCCTCTTAAAATCCTTGCAACAGGATGTAGCTCACTCAAGGCAATGGATAGCAGGGCCTGTTCTGCCACTGGTAAACCACAGAATTTCAGATAATTTTCTTCTGACTTCCTAAGCCTTAGTTTCTTTATGTGTAAAACAGAAACATGGGTAGGAGGAATACTAACAGAGCTAATGGATGTTAAAATACATTGAAAAAACTGAGGCATACTCCTATCAGATAGTATTGCCATCTTTTTAATCTTTAGGAATTTGTAGAAAGAGAAGGGTTTCTAGAGTCAACAGAGAAGGGCTGAATCTAGACTCTTGCTTCCTATCATCTATGTAAACATGACCAAGATGTTTCCCCATCTGCCAAATGGGAATTACATGGGTATATTTCAGGAATTCATGAGGTAACACATGTCGAGTGCATAGAACTCTTTCTAGCACATAGTAGGTGACTAATAAAGGTTTATTTCCTTTTCCCCTGATTTTACACATTGACTAATTCCTAATTAAAATGTAAGTTCTGTCATTATCAGCAAATATGCTACACACGTAAAAAAGGACCAAGCTATAACTAATATTCATTTTTTTAGTAAAGGGATATTGTAATACTATAAATGGTTAATTATCCATACCTTCTCTTATACCCTGCTGGAGTTAAAGGTGATATTCTTTTCTTAACAAGGGTCGCTTACAGATGTGGGTGGACATGTTTCCTATGGACATGCCTCAGCCTGGACCTCCTGTTGACATTTCACCAAGGCAACCCAAAGGGTAAGTAACCTGTACCTCACCATTGGGGTAGAGACCTTGGTAGCAGACTAAAGGATCATGGCATTTATCTGATATCAGAGAGGTCACCTAATACTGTACATCACTTTCTACTGTGCCAATTATGGGAGGGGATGAAGGGTGGCAATGATGATAGTGATGGGGGTTGAAATGGTGGTTCTTGTCTTATGGTATGGGCTTCTGAGTTCCAAATTTCTCATTTGAAAAATGCTGTAAACAGCAAAAAGATATATTCAAAATGATTCATGTCCTTGGTCTCCAGCTGGGATACTTGGTTCTGATAGAACCAAGACCTTGAGTGCTGGTATTTCTGAACTTGGCAAACTTACGGAAGCTTATAGGTTTAGAACAAAACCAGGCTCTCATAGACACTAGTTGATTCAACTTTCAAGACTGCCAACCTAATGCTGCCTTCTCTTACCCCAGGTATGAATTGAGGGTGACTATCTGGAACACAGAAGATGTCATTTTAGAAGACGAGAATATCTTTACAGGACAAAAATCAAGTGATATTTATGTTAAAGGGTAAGGACATTAACAAACTCCATCCTCCCTTCCCTTTTCCTCCTTACCTCTTTAAATGTTAACCAAGTATATGCCTCATGGAAGATACCCACATCCACACCTCACAAAAAGAGCCCATATTATTCACTGTGTTAGATAAGTCCCTTTCATTGTCAAATAGTTCTCTCATTTGATCATTGTGCTAAGAATTATCTTATGGAAATATTTTTATTGAGGATATTTTATTATATAAACATGTTTGAGTTAAATATAGGATAACTAAACTTTTTGAGTGACTTTCAGAATATATATTTTTTCTTATTTTTTTGCATTCAATCACTGTATATTTTTATAACATTGAAAATGAAGTTTCTCAGCATGAATGTACTGTATGTTAGTTCAGTCAAAGCAATCATCACACACAGTGTTATCAACAGATAATTTTCTTTGTTTTGGTTCATTGAATGTATTGCTTCTTTTTTTTCCCACCTTGATTATATATCTACTTTTAAACTAAAGGGAATAGAAAGATGTTATGCTACTAATGAAAGAGTAAGTGTTGAAAAGATTGTAAGGCTAACGCAAAAGCTAAAATTTAGCTAGTGCTACTGATCAAAAAGATAGAAACCTGGGGTCCACAGAGCATTTGACCTCTTTCTTATCTTTTTGCCCTGCTTCCTTTTAGCCCATAGTCAGAGAAGGAAATGATATAGAAGAGAATCAGAAACAAACATGATTTAAATCTGTACCTTAAACTAAAACTCATCTCAGAAGTAATAAATCCATTCCAGCCTCATACTGATAGCCCTTTGCCTCCCCTAAATAAGAAACAGCCTGTCTTTGAAATATGCATTTGATAGTCAAACATATTCAATAGCTCAAAATTTAAATTTTTTTCAAGGTAAGAGTATGGGAGTGAGTTAGATTAGTATGAAGAAGGAGCAATGGAAGTAGCATGACCTCAAATAAGATTTTTTTAAAAACCAAAATTAAGACGCTCTGAAATTGCTTTTTATCACCATTTCAGGAAAGAGTAATGTGTCCTATAAAGAGATATTTTACCATGTTTCAGAATATGGAAGGATTCTGGAAGAGTTCAGGTTGAGTCTTCCAGACCCTCGTCCATTTAAATCTCTTGAAAGGGATATTTATATTTATTCTTTCCACCTCTTCTCTTACCACTTCCCTCCAAACTCCAATCTGGCTTTTTCAGAATTTCATGAAGGTCATCTCATTAAGATGCCAGGGAGTTTCATATTGTTAAATATAATGGTCCTTTTTGTTTTTTGTTTATTTAATTGGTCCTCAACTTATTGCCCTCTAAGGTGCATTTGACATAGGTAGTCAATTGACCTTTTGAGGCATTTTCTTGCACTCACTCCTATAGAAGCACGCTCTTCTAGTTTTTTTCCTACCTGTCACTTCCCAATGACCTTTGAAAGCTCATTGTCCTTCATCTAGCAGGTAAGTAGCCTATGGCTCTATCCCAGATGCTCTTCTCATCTCACAAGATTTGGTCGCTCCGCCATTTCCTTTAATGTTTCACTCACATAGGGATTTAAATAACTAGTGACTTCCATTGTCATCTTTTAATCTCCATTCTTGACTACTTTTGTTCCATATGTGTGTATCTATATACTTGGATTTTTCAAAAATAACACCTCAATCTCAGCAAGTTTAAAATCTAAACTGTTTCTATTCTAGGGCTCCTTATCACAATGACTGGCACCATGATCCATTGAGTATTGGGAACACCAAACCTATTGCACCTTCTTCACCCTTGAGTCCTCCTTTCTAACATGCCATCAAAGTTTGTTCATTATACCGTCCAAATAGCTGTCAGCACTGTTCATAATCTCTGTTTTTACCAGACCACCACCTTAGCATTTTCTTTCATCTTCTCTTGCTGGAATCTGAAACACCATTTTAATTGGTGTTTCAAATTTACCCGTTCCTTTCTGTAATTTGTTATATTTTCAAAACACAGTCTAATTATGCTGATCCTGTGTTTAAAACACTTAAATGATAACCCATTTTCTCCAAAGACTTAAATCCCTAATATGCCCTAAAATATCCCATATAGCTATCATTTGCCTATCTCTTCAACCTCATCTCAGACTATACTCACCTTTGATCTGTGCTTTCTAGTATAACTGACCTTTTCTTTTCTTTCTTTCTTTTTTTTTTTTTTTGAGAGGATTTTTGCTATGGGGTGCATGCACTCGCCAGACAGACAGAGACAGACAGAGAGATAGAAAGCAAGAAATCAGTCCCCATAGGGGGTGGCCATGCCACAATCCCTTCTCCTCCATTGTCCTCTTGGGATCTTGGGCACGCACACACACACAGCCGGCGTGAGTTTAAGCCACCGGGTCCGGGACTCGAGCTGCGGTCGACTATGTGGGAGTCCAGCGACATAGCCATTACGCTAACTGCTGGTCCCATCTTTAATTTCTCAGAAAGCATCATTAGCTCTTCTTCCATAGTGCCATTGTACACCTCTCTCTGGTGATTTCAGCCAGCCCATTCATAGCACTCTAGCTCTTTCCCCCATGGATAGCTTCTGTTTACTCCTCAGCTCTCCCCAGCATCTAGCTTACTCTTTGCCTCATGATACAGTATTGGTTGAGGGAGCACCATCTTTAACTATATAATTGGGTCCCTACCTAGAATGGTACCACTTCTCTATGAAGAGAAGGGTCTTTGCTCTCTTTTTCCCTTCCCTAGGGAAGAGGGATGTCTGTTTCGGAAAGCGGGTAGTATGTTATTATTGAGTAGTTTGAATTAAAGGTACTTATTTTTAAAATTAATTAATTCACCATGAGTAAAGTACCAGGAGAAAACAGATTGATTGTGATTTACATTATGCTGGGGATGGAGGTGGAAGACCACGTAATAATAAGAAAGAATATTACAGGTAATTTGGAATACCCAGAACATAAACTTTGCAGTTGTTATCTCATATAATCCCTTAGAACAACCTTATAAGTTAGATACTATAATCGCTTCCATTTTACAAATGAAAAAAAGGCACAGAGAGATTACGTCACTTATCTTTGGCTACACAGTTAATAAGTGGAAAAGCCAGAGTTGGAACCAAGATGAGTAAGGCAGCCGTCTTATCCTGCATGTCACACTGATCTAGGCCTGTTGGGGTTTTGAGGCCCAGAACCAGAAAGGAGAAGGCCAATTACAGGCTTGACAGCACAGATCTTAACTAGCCTAATTTTAGAGCCCTCAATTCAGTGGTTAGTTTTGTTCTAACGCTCAGTTACAGAGGCAGCACCACTTACAATGAGGGCTCCCAGGGTGACAAGGATTCATATTACAATTTCATCTCATATTTTCTAAAGTTTCCATCTTGATTACACAGGGCTTCAGATCTACCCAAGCAATTGAAGCCAATTCCCCAATCTGCCTTGGAATGAATATTGTTTCAGACCCTTTGATCCCTATCTTCCTCTTTCTAATAAAAATGGAAACTTCCATCAAAATCTGACCATATAATTATTTTATTTTATTTTATTTTGAAATTTTAAGGTCAGTTTAGTAAGTTCAATGATGAAAGCTATCAGGAGGATATTCTTCTGAAAAATTAGTTTTTCTTAGGAAAAAAGGAAAATCAAAACCTTCTCCACATAGCCACATGTGAGGGTCCAGTGCCCTTAACTACCATGCCACCTGCCAGCCCCCATCAGGGTATTTTTCACTGGATGCAAATTCAAGAGTAGTCTGGACAGTTTTGTCACTTTCTCCAGCCTCAGATGTCACAGTAATGGTGAAGCTATGTGGATTTTCTGATAACACTTAGCAGGACCTTGTCAAGTGAAGCACTACTGAAAGAGAATGTGGTATCAGGAGAGTCCATTTATATTTGGGAAGACTAGTTGTTAGCTTTGAAGGAGTCGGGGTAGATGGACTTCAGAGCCTCCAGCTTGTTTCCCTGCTCCTTGCTCTCATTTGTCATTGTGGTCCTCACTGCTGCCCATGGACTGCCCAGGCACCTGGTGGTTAGCTAGAGCTGAGACCACTGCCACGCTGAGAAGGCTGGTGATGGCCAGGTGGGTGCAGAGTCCCTAGCTGGGAGGCCCAGAACCCAAAGTCTGTATAATTATACTGTGTATAATAATTTTAAAACTATGTTCTTGGGACCAGCAGGTGGCATGGTGGTTAAGGTGCTGGACACTCCCACATGGCTGACCACGGTTTGAGTCCTGGACCTGGTGGTTTACTTTCTCACTTTCCTCTCTCTCTCTCTCTCTGTGTCTCTCTCTGGTTAAATTAAAATGAAGGAATGAATGAATAAATAAATAGATAAATCTTAAAAAAAAAAAAACAACTATGATCTGTGCCCACATTGAAACTAGTGAAATCAACACTTGACTGATGACTGAATAATGTACTCTGAGTGTTTAAATTTTTAAAAAAATCTTTATGCAGGTGGATAAAGGGTTTGGAAGATGACAAGCAGGAGACAGATGTGCATTACAACTCCCTGACCGGAGAAGGGAACTTCAACTGGCGCTTCCTGTTTCCATTTCGGTATCTCCCAGCTGAGAAGCAAATGGTCATTACCAAGAGGGAGAACATCCTTTCCTTAGAGAAGATGGAGTGTAAGACTCCAGCTGTGTTGGTGCTCCAGGTTTGGGATTTTGAAAGGCTGTCCTCAGATGATTTCTTGGGTAAGCCAGTGACATCCGTAAGCATTTCTTGGTGTTAAAGGTTTTGTCCCAACTTTTGGAGACTTTGATCTGATGGAGTTACAAGGATAATAATTTCAGTGCTATTTTTAATGGAAAAAAATTGAAAGCAGTCCAAATAGCCATTGATAGGGGATTTGCTAAATAAGTTATGGCGCAGCCACATGGTGGACCACTCCATATTCAGACTTAAGTTGAACTTTGCTTTCTTTCTAAGAAGTCATTAAACTTTGAGATCATTTGTGGGTCCACTCTGCCTTAGTTTTCCTCAGTTATAAAATGGGAATAGTAATATCACATACTTCAGAGAGGGTGGAGCAGTAAATGTAATAATACAATTAAAGAATAAACTATAGTGCCTCACACATAGCAAACATCAAAAAAAAATGATAACTCTGCAGCCATTCAAATGTTGGGATATTTAATGAGTAGGAAAGCTGTATAGGATTCATTTAAAGGAAAAGTGTGGAAAAATCCCATTTCTGAAAGACATGTGTTTATATGTATAAGAGAAAGAGTCATAGACAGGCAGGGAGAGATAAAATAAGGCTAAGCACTGATACATAGAGCAATGGCCAATTTTTTGAGGATGGAATTATGGAAAACTTTTCTTAAAGAATTAGTTAATTCATTTTATTTATTTATTATTATTATTTTAATTTTATCAGAGAGAGATAGCGAGAGGGAAAGTGAGAAAGCAAGCTGCCAGGTCTGGGACTCAAACCACAGTTGGTCCTGTGAGAGTCCAGTGGCTTAGCCATCAGCTTAGCCAACCTGCCAGCCTCCAGAAGAGTTTTGTTCTCATTTTTCCTTTTCTTAATGTACATATTCTAGATTTTCCATAACTAGAAAATGTTGCTTTATAATAAGCAAAGATTGTTAAAGAAAGAGATATATAGAACTCTCTCATGGCAATATCTTACTCTGCCTTGTATGCGCTCACTGGAAAAGCACTTTTGAGAACCCACTAAGGTAAAATAAGTAACAAAGAAAGAAGACTTACTGCCTGACCTGGAGGAGTTTAATGAACTCGCAGAGGGAGATAAGAGCTATCATAGGATAATCACTGCTGATATCGGGAAAAGCTAAAGCATATGACCCAGACCCAAGGAGCTGAGCTCTGAGAAGGTGCCCATCAGCAGAGATCCCTGAAACTGAGACTTGAAAGCTAAGTGACGTAGCTCTGTCCTTGTCTTCTACCTGCTACCACATTATTAACCTTTTGATGATGTCACATGTGCTTGGTCATATTTGCTCCTGACATTAGCATGCACTTGTGATCCAATTAGTACTTATTGGATGACTAGTGAGTGGACTGGATGACTAGTGAATGGACTGGCAGATGAAGATGGTGATCAAAAAGCTCTTCCATACTCTTTTAAAGCTTATTTTTTTCTTGGGAGCCAAAGGGAGAGAGGAGGGCATCCCCCTAAAGGACCTCATGCCACAATTACCCCCGCCCCCGTCTCAGTCAGCCTAGATTACTGGCCTTGTACACAGGCCCAGAGTGCTCAGGGCGGTCCAGGGATGCAAACCCAGGACTTCCCCATGTGGTCCAGTTATGATACTGCTATGCCACCGCCTGGCCATCTCTTCCATCATTTTCAGAAAACCCTTCTATAACCGTATGGTCATCTCTCCACAGGCTCCCTGGAAATGAACCTCAATAGTTTTCCTCGAGCAGCCAAATCTGCCAAAGCTTGTGAACTTACCAAGTTTGAAAATGCAAGTGAGGAGAACAAGATCTCTATATTCCAGCAGAAGCGTGTGCGTGGCTGGTGGCCATTTGCTAAAAGCAAAGAACTCACCGTAAGTGACAGTTGTGGGGTGCGGGCGAAGTACCATCAAGG